CCTCAGGCTCCACCTACTGCATTGTGTATTATTGGTCACTTCATGTTTTAGGAAGTAAAGAACATTTTACCCACATTCTCATCTGACCCATTTCCCCCCAACTGTCCCCACTTCCTACATTCATTCATTACACCATCATTCAACCTCTCTGCTACACTCCGGTGACTCCTTCCACTGCCACTCAACCACATTAGTCCCTAACATTGCACTCTTTAAAGTACTCATCATGAGGAAATCTTAACGTCTCTGCCAAGTAGCAAAATGCTGATACTGAACAGATCAGTAAAATGTTCACTGACTACATATTTTTCACAACATGTTTTCTCTACAATATCAGCTCATACAATGGATGGATGGAACAACCTTCCAAATAATGGACAACCTGCTCTGTCTCCGAGACACAGCCGCCCACAACTGAAACATAATTAAAAAAAAATGTAACAAGCAACTACATTTCCTCACAAAGAAAACGAGAATTGAGGACCACAAAGAGAACACAATTAATAACAACTCATAACTCATAAATAACACAGGTAACAAATGTTTACTCAAAGGAACTTGTACTCTGGTTTTACTCAAATCAAACCATGTAACTAACCTTTCTGACTACAAACCTCAGTTAAACAGTGAGCAGTTCTGCTGGGACTGTTACAGATAATGCTGTGATATACAAATACTGAAAGAAAGAGGAAGAAGACACAAAGGTGGGCGTATTACTTAAAAGTAACCAAAAATGTAATCTCAGGAAATGCGGCTGTGCAGATCAACCAACAAATGAGAAGAGGAACTGACAAACAAACTGGAGTTTAATAGTCTCAGTAGTTTCACTGATCATCCAAGATCATCAAAATGAGAAGCTCTCTTCTACTGCTCCTCTCCCTGATGACAGGTAAAGAAACATTAATACTGCCTGATTCCTGATATTAGACATTAGATTAACTGTTACATCCTGTGGTTTGGTTTCAACTAATATTTGTATACTGGTCACAGTGACAGTCGTACTAATTCACAAACTAAAACAAACCAACTGCTACTTTTAAAATTCACTTGAAGGCATATATGTTCTGCTTCTCACTTTGAGTAATTCATCCAACACAGCAGTGATACAACCTATAGCCTGTTAATAAGAGGTTACTACACAGGTAGTATTTGTGATTTCATGTGAACATGCAGCTCATGTTTTAAATTTGATATGTCTTATAATGCCTTTGTATAGAAGCAGTGATTTTTCATATATTAATGTTGAATTGTTCTTGACCATCAAACGTGAATTAGTAGTGAATTCAACTACAACCGAGTAATAATGATGGCAGACAGAGAGAGCACTCTGAGCAATTTAAAAAATCCAGTTTGAAAATAGAAAATTTAAACTGCTAAACTGAAGTACTGTAAGAAGCAGAACTGAATAGTGTGTAAAGAGCTGTGTTTAAGGGAGAGAGCTATGAGTGCTTGAACTAGTGTAAGTTTAAATGTATAGCAGCTGTAATTAGCTGCTATAATGAAGAATATAACTGATTTATCTGGGTGGAGCTGGAGCAGCAGACATGCTACCAGCAACCACAAACACTGACAACCGGAGATGATACGCTGACTGCAGCACGTCAGAGAGGTCACATCCTTTAGACGGCATAGTTATGTTATGTACTGGTTTAAGGAATAATGAATGAGATTAGATATTCAAATATAGTTTGGACCTATGTGTTTTATTAGAACACATAATTGAACGTCATTATGAGCAATCTTGACAGCCCTAGATTAAAATTCTCCAAATTACTTTAAAACACAGTTGATACTAGTTTAGACTGCTGCAGTAGCTCTGGGATTGTCTCAGTATCTGACATCATGTGAACTTTAGTCTTTGTCTGATCTACAGGTTGTGAGCTCAGGTCTGAAGTGAAGGGATGCCGAGGAGGATGGGTTGAATTCACCTGCAAATATCCCAAAACAACTGGAAATTATAAGAATATTGGTGTAGTTAGTCGAAGAGGAACATTCATACAAGCTACTAAAAAGAATGTGTGGGAAACCAAAGACAGCATTTCCCTGTACCATGATACACAAAATGAAGAACTCAGAGTGGCCATCAGACAACTTCAAACCAAGGATTTTGGGGAATACCAATGTAAAGAGAAAGACAAAGACAGAATGAAAGACAGAGAGAAATTTAAAGTGGAAGTTGGTAAGAGACACTCACCTTTAATGTGTTTTTAATGAACTCAAAATTGAAACTTGGTCAAAATGTTTTCACACAAAAAAAACACAACATAAAATTTTACATTATTTGCACATGTAATGACTCAAATGTTTTTGAGGCACATGGAGCCAATGATTGTTGATAACAGATTTAATCCTAAAAGGCCTCAGATATCAGATAAATTGGGTGACATTATGAATATAGTGACATTTATTCCTGAGCTTAAACATAAATCCAGTCTTTAGAGTCACTATCATTTTAAAGTCTTTAACCAACTGATATGTTAAATTGATTAATATGATTAAATGCATTTCATTCATAGCACAGTATTAGTGACACATTTTGATCAGCCGACTCAGTGTCACAAGCTTTATAGAGAATTGTATACACTGGCATTTTCAGATGTTTTTTATAATTTCTACTCCAGTGGTTTTATTATTTGCTATGGTTATTATGTTTTTTGTCTGTTTGGCCACTGTCTCAAATTCTTGCTGTAATTTAAATGTTATATATTTTCTGTGGACCAGTGAAATACAGCAAGTAAAATGAGAATTGAACACATCACAATTTCTCAGTAAATATATTTCTAAAGGTGCTATTGACATGAAATTTTCACCAGATGTCGTTAACAACCCATGCAATCCACACATGCAAAGAAATCAAACCATAGATGTCCATAAATTAAAGTTATGTGTAATAATGTGAAATGACACAGGTAAAAAGTATTGAACACATGACGAAAGGGAGGTGCAAAAAGGCATGGAAAGCCAAGACACCAGCTGAAAACTATCAATAATTAGAAAGCAATCCTGTCACTCGTCAGTGCAAATTAATATCAGATGGTTCAGTCCCAACTGATGGCCTATGGAAAGGTGTCTCATCACCAAGATGTCACACAAGAAACATCTCATGATGGGTAAAACTAGAGAGCCCTGACAAGACCTTTGCAACCTTATTGTTGCAAAACATACTACTGGCATTGGTTACAGAAGGATTTCTAAACTTCTGAATGTTCCAGTGAGCATTGTTGGGGCCATAATCCGGAAGCGGAAAGAACATCATTTCACCATAAACCGGTCACGACTAGGTGCTCCTCGCAAGATTTCTGACAAAGGAGTGAAAATAATTATCACAAGAGTTGTCCAAGAGCCAAAGACCACTTGTGGAGAGCTTCAGAAAGACCTGGAATTAGCAGGTACAATTGTTTCAAAGAAAACAATAAGTAATGCACTCAACCGCCTTGGCCTGTATGCACACTCACCGCGCAAGACTCCATTGCTGAAGAAAAAGCATGTTGAAGTGCGTTTGAAGTTTGCTGCACAACATTTAGACAAGCCTGTGAAATACTGGGAGAATAGTCTGGTCAGATGAGACCAAAATTCAACTCTTTGGATGCCATAATACACAGCATGTTTGGAGGTCAAATGGTACTGCACATCACCCTAAAAACACCTTACCAACAGTGAAGTTTGGAGGTGGCAACATCATGGTGTGGGGCTGTTTTTCAGCATACGGCACTGGCAGACTTCATATAATTGAAGGAAGGCTGAATGGAAAAATGTACCAAGACATTCTTGATGAAGATCCGCTGCCATCTACCAGGATGATATGGATGAAACGAGGGTGGACATTTCAGCAAGACAATGATCCCAAACACACAGCAAAGGAAACTCTCAATGGTTTCAGAGAAAGAAAATAAAGCTGCTAGACGGGCCCAGCCAATCACCTGACTTGAATCCAATAGAAAATCTATGGAAAGAACTAAAGATCAGAGTTCATAGACGAGGCCCACGGAAACTTCAAGATTTGAAGACTGTTTGTGCGGAAGAATGGGCCAAAATCACACCTGAGCAATGCATGCGACTGGTATCTCCATACAGGAGGCGTCTTGAAGCTGTCATTACCAACAAAGGCTTTTGTACGAAGTATTAAATACATTTCAGTAAATCTGTTCAATACTTTTTCCCTGTGTCATTCCATTTTATTACACATAACTTTAATTTCTGAAATTATTTATTTTGGTTTCTTTGAATGTGTGGATTGCATGGGTTGTTACCGACATCTGGTGAAAATTTCATGACAATAGCACCTTTGGTAATATATTTACTGAGAAAAATGGTGATGTGTTTAATAATTATTTTATGTTCTAGTTCTGGTTTTGAAAACCACGACAGAAATAAAATGTATGTACTTGTTAAGTTTTTTTTTTTTAGTTTTGTTATTTATTTGCAGAGGAAGATGGTTGCCAGCAACAATTGAACCAAACTGCGTACAGAACAGCTAAAACCACCATCACATGTGATTATCCAGCAAAGTTTTTCTGCAAAGACAATGGTTTAATCTGCGAGGAGATTTTATCAACAAAATCTTCCCTAAAGTCAAACAGAAAATACAATCTCACAGAAACTGACAGTGGATTCAATGTGTCCATCAGTAATGTGTCCTCACATGATGCTGGTCTCTACTGGTGTGGAGAGAATGAAGGAAATTACCGAACTGGACTCGGAAAAATCCAACTGAAGGTTGAAGGTGAGCAGCACACATCTGACACTTCTAAGTTTGATTCACTCACACATACTGTATACACTACTCACAAAAAGTTAGGGATATTCCACTTTCAGGTGAAATTTAATGAAAACGTCAAAAGTTGATGCTACAGTGATATTATATCATGAAAGTAGGGCATTTAAGTAGAGAAGTTCAAATTAAGATCACCTGGAAAGCTTATAGTGCATTTTCTGAACACATTCTGAAATTTCATCCGAAAGCTGAATATCCCTAACTTTTTGTGAGTAGTGTAACTGAGGTCTCTCTGAAATATGTTGTTAAATACAGTCAATGCTGTCTGTCTACAGATATTACGACATTCACAAGGTCTCCAACTATTGGACAGAATTTTACATACTGGTGTGAATATCCAAATGGTGCTCCGATAAAGAAATTCATCTGTAAGGGAGAAGATCCATCTATATGTCAACCTCTAGTAAACACTGCACAGCGCAACATGAACAACGGAAAGTTTTCCATGAAGGAAGACGAATTAAAGAGAAATGTAACCATAACGGTGAGAGAAATAACAGCAGACGACAGTGGGACATACTGGTGTGGAGCAGAAAGCACTGACACAAAACGCAGTAACACATTCTTCCACAGATGCTTGTTGACTGTAGGTGAGTGGTCACATTATTTTATTGTTTGGATGTAATCTGACTCCTGTTTATATGTAAACCTGACAATTTGATTACCAGGTTCATGATGGCATTTTCTTTCTTTTTTTTATGGATTTTCTTTACCAGATTTTACCAAATTATATTTCTTATTTTCTACACTTCACTGCAATCTGTTAAATCTATTTTCAGTGTCTCCAACCACATCGACACCCTCTATTACTTCATCAACATCCGATCATCCTGTTGCTACATTGTCGGTTGCTTCAACCCAATCAACCGTTGCACCTGCTGAGAGTGGTGGTGAGAGTGTTTTCTGAGAGCTGTTGCAGCAGAGGCAGAGGGGCAGGAAGATGTTACGGTTATTGATTTTGTGTTAATAGTTGTTTAAATAAGTTTATAATCGTCCTTTTGTTGTGTGCTTTTCTCTCTTGCAGGTAGCTCTGTGTTAACTGTCACCATTGTTGTGGTCATCTGTGTCGTTGTGCTGGCGCTGTTGCTCATTGTGCTTTTTTTCTACAAAGGTAAGAGATTTCCAGTTTGCACAATATCAAACACACACATTAACACACATTCAGGATACACACTTACCAGCCCCTCGGAGAAGTTGCAGTCACAACAATAAACCAATTAATTGTCCTGTCACTGTAACTTTTTAAACAAATTTGACCAATCATTGTAGTTTCCTGCACAAAACATTGAGCCATACGTCACCAAACTCACGTTCTCGTTTGTAGTTGTGAGGATTCAGACCACGCAGACATGTGCAACACGAACGTCTCACATTTACCCTTCAAACTGTGTGATTTTATTCTCACCGGAATAAGCTTTACATTTTTAATTAAATTCACAGCAAAAAAATCATAACCATTTTTCTAATTTTCACTTTCTCTCACAATATCATTGCAAAAAAAACACAACAGGCATCGCAATGTCTCAAATCTGATGTGGAATCAGGCATTTTAGGCCACAACAATCCCCAAAAAAGCCCCAAGAACTGTGTGTATACTATAGTTAAATCATAAAGGCTTTAAAAACAAACATTAGCAGGTGTAACTGTGTTGGTTCTTCCCTGGTCAGTAGATCCTGATTGTTCTTCTGTTTTCTCATTTTTCTCCGTCAGGACTGTGTTCACAAACCACAAGAAACGGAGAAGCAAAGAACAACAAAGAGGTAAGTTTATATATTTATGTAAATGTCTGTAATTGGAAACGGACACATAGATGCAGGATGCCACAAGCATCAAAAATGTATGTTAGTTTTAATTTAAAGTCTTCAACCAATGCTTTGTAATTTACTTCAACCTACAACGTCTATCTCAATGACAGACGAAGACAGTTTGATATCAGTTGGATTTTGTATTGAGCACTGACTGTAACACACTGTGGAAGAAGTCTTCTTGTGTTTATGTGTAATTACTCTCACTGCCAGAAGGGGGAGACAAACAAAAGGTTTAAAGAGCAATTATTAGTTTTGGGGGCAAACCAGATGATGTTAAACTGTATGGTTAATGCTTATTGTTAGGATTATTGATGCATATGAACTATTCATCCTGTGTTTTGCTCTGAAAGGATCGTACCTATGAGGAGATACAGGAGCTCCCCCAGAAGCCAGACTCAGGAACTGCACTTAAAACTATTTATGTCACTGCCAACTTTCCCACAAACCCCTCTTCTGCCCCACATCATCACTCCAACATCAACTTTCAGAGCAGCTCTGGTGACGTTGGTGGTGACACATATTTTACTGTGAGGGACGGTGATCAACATCCCACCTACTCAACGGTCAACCACCCATCCAGATCTTCTGCAGACCCTTTCTATTCTACTGTCAACAAGCCACAGTGAGGAAGGTCCTGGCAGTTTTCACCTCGTTCATTTGTGATGGGATTTGTTTTTTAGTATTCAAACAATACACAGACTTTAGAAATTACATTACTCTGGGCCCTGAAGTAACATGAATGTGTCGGTCCTGGTTGAACTGGTCCATATTGAGGGTAAGGTTAGATACAATTACAGGAATATGAAAATGTAAAGTTTGAGGACTCGTGGTTTTGAATTAAAGACTATTTGGAAAAAGCATGGATTTAACCCTGAAACCAAAAATGTTAACACTCTTGATTTATCTTATATTATCATGAGTAAAGTCAGTTTATTTACATAAATTATGGCCGTGCCATGTATTTACCTGTTTTAATGGATCTCTTTAATCTCAAATACTGAATGCTACAAGAATATTGTGAATCAAATATAAACATTTTAGATTAAAGTAATAACCAGTCAGTACGTCAACAATTTGCACTTTTACTGCTGTTGGTTTTTTAAACATTGATACCAAACATCACCCGCAGACTGATACTAATGTAATTTATATTCTGTATATACAGTTTATTCTATGTGCAATATGTTATGCATCAGTTGTTGTTTTATTGTGTAAAAACAAATCTTTTTGAAATGTTCCTTTTTTACTAAAATACTGCATTTGTACAATGTGTCACTTTTTTCTTTTGGATTTTAAATAACACTGTATTTGATTAACAAAAATAGTTCATATAGTGATATTAAAAAAGGTTTACCTTTGCTTGGAGTGGTTGTCTTCATTCTATCACTGATATAACTAATTGTACTTGTACATGTGACTACATATAAACCAGAAAATATGACATTATTTAAGGGACATGCAAATGAACAGATGTCTTAAAATTTGACCTTTAAAGTACTCATCATGAGGAAATGTTAACATTTCTGCCAAGTAGCAAAATGCTGATACAGATCAGTAAAATGTTCACTGACAATATATTTTTCACAACATGTTTTCTCTACAATATCAGCTCATACAATGGATGGATGGAACAACCTTCCAAATAATGGACAACCTGCTCTGACTCCGAGCGACAGCCGCCCACAACTGAAGCATGATATAAAAAATGTAATAAGCAACAACATTCATCACAAAACAAACTAGCAAAAGAAATGAGTGCCACAAGGACAACACAATAACAAATAATAATATTAACATTTATAAATAACATTCAAAGTGAAAATATTAAATTAAATTAATTAGGCCTAACTTGATTTCATTTTTTCATTTGAAAGTCTGACGCTTTAGAATATCTCTGACCCTCGGACAAAGCATTTGACGACCCCTGCTGTAGATATTTGGTGGCATCCAGTTTAACAACAATCTTGATTTACAAAGATTTTCATGTGAACGATTTAATGGTCAGTGCAGGTTTCTTGATTAAAGTGTGACATATGGAAAGCTAAGTGTAAGGTTCCACCTCATTAGTGAGCATTTCTCCTGGTAATTTGCATTGTGAAGGGAATTTAATATGATTCACATCCTGTTTGCTTTATATAGTTTAAGTTTGATGATGCAAGACTGTAAAACAACCTGTAGACAGTGGGTGGGGTGTATCATGATTACTATCATTTTATTATTATCATTTAAGTCATATGTAGAGTCATCACAACTGTTTTCAGTTCCTATATGTCTCTGTTATAAACTTTTAGTAGCTTCTGGCTTTAAAGAACAATGTCTGCTGATATTAACACCGTTCAAATCCCAACTTCTCCTTTATGTATTAATAAAATTAAGTTCTTCCATTTATTCTCCCATTAACTTGTTTTTACATTTATAGACGGTATATGTAGACAGAATTAACTTATTACTCACATACGTAACTCACCACTCATTTCCTCGTAACTGTTATTTAGAGAAGGAATGTATAATGAGGAAGGAGTATAAAAATAAAGGGGAAGGACCAGTGTTTAGGTAACATACAACAGACATTCAAGAAACGCTTCAGACCGACCGACTGTAGAAGTGAAATAACCAGCTAGAGTTTAATATTCTGACCAAGGAGCAGCAAGACCAACATGATGAAGATCTTTCTGCTCCTCCTCTCACTGATGGCAGGTAAACAAATTATTAATACCTGATAACTTATATTACAGATGAATTAATGTTACTGCGTTGACTCTAAAAATCTTTTTTCAACATATTCTGTAAAGAAATAACACAAAACCTTTTATGGTGGACAGGCGGTAACATTTATGGGTTGTAATATAAAGGAGGGTTGGGCAGACGAACAAAATTCATATCACTGTAATTTTTAAGATTCTGGCAGTTTGATGATATATCACCTTTTTATTTAAGTTTTATTTGTTTATTTATTTTGCATTACTCGGCCTTTAAATAGGCTCATATATAATTTACAGGTAGTAACATCGGTGCAGTAGAGACATCTCAGTTGAGTCAGAAATGTAAAAATAATATTATAAATGTATTTTATATAGTGCAGTCAGTTAAACGCGTTATTAACGGCGTACATTTTTTATCGTGAGATTAACGTTCTTTTTGGCCTAGCACACTTTGTAGTTTTTTCACATGCTGTTGCAACAACTAGTAACGTTACAAAAACTACAACACCACACCGGATCTAGCTAGACCGGAAACAAAACAACAGGCACGCCGCACACACTTGTTTAAGAGTAGTTCCTCCAAAAAAAACAAAAATACGAAGTACTCAAAGGGATCAGTGGGAAAACGAAGGCAGATATTCTCTGTATCATGATACAAAAAATAAAAGACTCAAAGTGGCCATCAAACAACTTCAACAGGAGAACTTTGGGGAATACGAGTGTGAATTTTATCAAGGACAGAACTCATCAGACGAAGTTAAAGTTAAAGTGAAAGCTGGTAAGAATTGTTTTGTATTACTCTCTCTCTCTCTCTCTCTCTCTCTCTCTCTCTCTCTCTCTAATGTCCTTTGTTAATTCATTGTGTAACTATGTTAAAGAGCTAGAACTTTCCCTCCCAGAATATTTTTTTAAATGATTTTTAAAAAATGCAACAAGCAGCAACAACTGTGGGAGTCGTGGCATTGAGGCTGCGTAGTGTGTCACATTTCAGAAATAAAACCTGCCTGTAGTTTGGTGATACATTAAAAAGAACTGAGGTATTACACAAGCAAACTATCTCAAAAACAGACATTTCTTCCCAGACTTTGGAAATAAAATTCCACATAATAAACAGATTTCACATATTTTCCTTTTTCTTTTTCCTCTGCAAAGAAAGATGGCTGCCAGGGATTTCTTCAAACTGCGTACAGAACGGCTAAAACCACCATCACATGTGATTATCCAGGAAACAAACACAGGTCCAGTGTCAAGTTTATCTGCAGAGAGAATAATTTCACTTGTGAGGAGATTTTATCAACGAGATCTTCTGTAAAGTCAAACGGGACATTCACTCTCACAGAAACCAACAGAGGATTCAGTGTGTCCATCAGTAATGTGTCCTCACATGATGCTGGTCTCTACTGGTGTGGAGTGAATAAAGGAAATTACCAAACTGGACTCAGAAAAATCCAACTGAAGGTTGAAGGTGAGCAGCACACATCTGACACTTCTAGGTTTGATTCACTCACACATATAACTGAGGTCTCTCTGAAATATGTTGTTAAATACAGTCAATGCTGTCTGTCTACAGATATTAGGACATTCACAAAGTCTCCAACTATTGGACAGAATTTTACATACTGGTGTGAATATAAAAATGATCCTCCGATAAAGAAATTCATCTGTAAGGGAGAAGATCCATCTATATGTCAACCACTGATCACTACACAGCAAAAGAAGAACACAAAGTTTTCCATGAAGGAAGACAAAGAGAAGAGAAATATCACCATAACAGTGAGAGAAGTAACAGCAGACGACAGTGGGACATACTGGTGTGGAGCAGAAAGCACTGACAGAAGACGCAGTAACACATTCTTCCACAGATTCTTGATGACTGTAGGTGAGTGGTCAAATGCTGCTGCCTCCTTCTGGTTGTTTATTGGGTAAACTGAGATAAATGAAGCCCTTTTAAAGTCATTACCTTTTTATTTGACAATTCTTTTGATCCCCTAATCATTACACAAGGTTATACTACTCTGTTCAATACTTTATTTTTACAAAAGGTCATCCCTACTCCTCACAGCTATCAAAATGTTTTGTTTCCTTTAATAAATACTCATCAATTATAAGATTTGTTCTGTTGAAACTTGCAGAACATTTCCCTCCTCTTGGAACCCTTGGGGAACATGTATTGCATATCGCAATCAAGTTGTCTACATCTGCAAAGCGTCATTTTTTACTTGACACGCTGTCAAGTTCTCCCTAGGTTTTGCCTCAGCTCCTGCCCAAACTTGAAAATAGCCTGGATCTCTCTTAAAGTTGCAAAGGGACAACTCAATCTTCTTGTCTGTTTTTATTTTCAGTCTTCATCGAAACATTTGTTTAATTATGCAACAGATCTCTTGTAGATAGATAGATAGATAGATAGATAGATAGATAGATAGATAGATAGATAGGTTGCTAACCTTAAAAGAAACAGAAATGTACCAAAAATGCAATTATTTTCCATATAATGCAATTATGCAACAAAATCGCTTCTTTTAATAAATTAAAGATTTCTTAATTCTGATGTACACTTTTTACTTAATTCTCTCATTGAAACAAATCACTTATTTAAATAAATTACACATTTAAAAATGTCTACTAATTTAACTAATTCTTAATTAGACTCACGTTATCATTCACAAGAGTTAATGAAGTAACAAAGTAAACCATAGATTAAGCAAATTAGGCTGATGATGTGACTAAACATTTCAAATTGTTCTTAACATTAATAAACTCAGGGGTCACATCAAAATCAAATATTCAATATTAAATAATCATATTTATTCATTTATTCTCAGCAGTGGCGTCCTCTCGTATCTCACGTCTGACCTGCTGCCTTCCCTTTGTTTGGCCAAGACGCCGACTTTTTCCCACAGGTGGTTGTAATCAGGGGTGGAAAGTAACAAGTTACATTTACTCTCGTTACTGTAATTGAGTAGTTATTTTGTGTACTTGTACTTTTTTGAGTAATTTTTAAATTCAGTAATTTTACTTTTACTTAAGTACATATTGTTGGAAGTAATTTACCACACTACATTTTAAATAGCTTCCGTTACAAAGTAAAAATAAATAGATGAAGTTGCACTGCGTCTGCGCGCCAGTAACGGTCCATCTGATTGGCTCTGGACAACTGCAGCGCCAGAAGGTCAGAAACATCGAGACGTTGGTGCCACAGAGGAGCTAGCTAAAAGATGATGGAGACGGATGGAGACAAGAGTATCGATGGAGAAGGGTTGAATTTGGGACACAGAGAGACGCACGGAGAACGTGAGGCCAATCCCTGGACAAACTTAAAGGACTTCTTTGAGTTCAAGTCTGCTAATGACAACAATTTCATCATGCAATGTAAACTTTGTATCCCGAAAGAGACGCAGCTATCCACCTACAAAAACTCTGCTTCCAACCAGCACAAGCATTGCTTTATGTCATATAGGCTGAGTCCGGCTGAAATCGCCTTCTTGACCCAGTACTGCACAGTGATGAAGCCTGTGACGAAGGCCTTAAACATCCTTCAGTCAGAGACGAACACACACACGGGATGGCTGCTGCCAGTGATCTTCCAGTTAGCAGCAAAACTCGGACGACTGGAAGTATCCTGCAGGTTGTGCCTACCATTAATCAGAGCCATTCAGGTGGGATGATGGGAGACCCTGAACTGATAGCTGCAGCCATCCTTCTGCCAAAATTCAAGACCACTTGGACTGAGAAAGCCAACGTCATAGAAGCAGGTATGATTTTCATCACTCATTATTAAAGGTATCATTTGGATTATTGGTGGGCCGGGGGATGTATAAACTACATATAGTCAGTGTATCACCTACTGTAGATGCTGGTCACCTCACACACAGTTTGAAGAAGAGGAGTCTCCACTTCTTTAGCACTTCAACCTTTAAGAAGGCTTGGTCCAATATCATACATGCAACAGAATAATGAGCCTGTCTACATGAGTGTAGAGAATGTTTTGGTTTTTGTAATGGCAACATTATGAGTGTGCTTTGTGTGTATTTGTCACTTAACACAGGTTTGGCCTACGTGAAGCATCACATTGAGCACAAGACAGAGGATGAGATGGAGCACGTCGGCCACTCATCAGATGAGGACGATTTATTCTCATCACTGAAGTCCAAAAGGTCAAAAGGCACAAGTGAGCTAGATGGGTTCCTTGCCTGTGTCTCAGACAAAATGGACCTACTGAACTCTTTTCCTCTCATCAAAAAGCTCTCTCTCAAACTCAACACTGGCCTGCCTGCTTCTGCTGCTTGTGAACGCATCTTCAGCTGTGCTGGACTGCTGTTCACTGCAAACCCAGCTAGAATGAGCTCTACTTGAAGACCAGCTCCTGCTCAAAGTAAATAGCAAGTTCATTGAGTAATTAAGGAGGAACTGTAACTGTATCTGTGATCTAGTCGTTTCTTTAATAAAAAATGTGAGTTTGAGCTTTGTGTATGTTCTTGTACTTTTTTTTTATTGTATGGGGAGAGAGTACATTTTAAATGAACTACTTTTTACTTTTACTCGAGTAGATTTTTACACCAGTACTTTTACTTAAGTAAAATTTCATCAAGGTAACAGTACTTTTACTTGAGTGGATTTTTTTGGTACTCTTTTCACCCCTGGTTGTAATGAATGAATGACGTTTCCTCATTTTTTTGTTTCGTCAGCGGTACGCCGGTTTAATCACTCCACCGGAGACTGTAGTTTCCTCCAGCTGCTTTTCCTGAGTTTTAACTCAACACACGCCTTTGAAAAACAACGTAATTCTATCCACCTTGCCTCACCTCGATTCGCCCACATCCTCTAACACCACCCAACTAAACTCCTAAACGTTTTCTTGACCCTCCACAACTTTCTCACTACTTGCCCAATTGAGAATGTGCAACTCTCAACAGAGACCAGAAGGAAGTGAGATGGCTCACTCTTTAGTTACTTCCATCAGCTCTAGAAAAATGCAGTTCAGTTCAGATTTTTCACCACTTGTCCGATCGGGCCAGTGAGTTACCCAAAGAGGAGTGTTATTTGTGGGCAATCCTTATTGTTGAGCCCTAAAATTAGGAATAATATGTTTATAATGCTGCTGTCTGGCACTCCTGTTGGTTTTTCTTAAATACCTAATTTATTTCCTCCTTCTTAGTTTGACAATTCAAACCTTGTAAATATGTTGTTGTTTGCAGGCACAACTAAAATACATTTCTGTTTGTTTTCAGTGTCAACAATTCCCTCTGCAACCTCATCACCACCTGTAACACAACCAGCTATTGTTTCTAATGACGCCTTTGGTAAGTAAGCATGTTTGTTATTTTAAACCTTCAGGCCTAAATCTAGTTTAGAAACAGAACTAAATGACAATGGGGAAATACCTCTCACTACAAACAGTTAATCATTTGTAAAATCCCTCAACACAACCAGCTCTGGATGTTAATGCTAGGTGTTGATGGGGTTATTTTTTGGATGTATTATTTGATGTCTTGTTTTCTTGTGCAGATCTCACATCTGTGCAGACCATTGCTCTGGCTCTCTCTCTGGATGTGCTGCTGTTGCTGCTGATGCTCACTTCATACTTCATCTACACACGTAAGATAGTCCTTCACTAGTTTCCATCAAACACCTCCACTCACACACAAACAGACCATCAACACATTTTAACCGTAACAACAAAATATATTTTATGGGCCGGGTACGTAGATTGGGTTTCATTAATTCAGATAAATTAAGTGTTCAAACTTTAAAGTGGCAGCCCTATCATGTAAAACAGTAATAAAAGACATTGTTAAGGGTTCCAGTATATTTTCAGGCCTCCTCCATAATGTACCAAAAGCTATAGTAGTAGCAGTATCTTAGCCTCCGGTTCCTTCGACTCAGTGGGTTTTTGGTTAGATGGTTGTGATTGTAGATTTTAATTAAAGGATTTTAAGTCCAGTGTGTAACATTTAGGAGGATCTATTGGCAGAAATGGAATATAATATTCATAGATATGTTTTCATTAGTGTATAATCACCTGAATATGGGAATTGTTGTGTTTGTGTTACCTTATGATGAGCTGTTCTTATCTACACACAGCTTGTTCTCATTTCCAGGTCATTAAATGAAGATGCGAACAGTGTTCAGTTAGTTTATCTGCAACTTCATCTCTAGATGCCACTAAATCCTACACACTGGTCCATTAATTACAAGTTGGATGTTTAGTGTTGACGTTGAAGTCATGCAACCATGTTGTAGTTATGTAGTCTAACATTGCGTTTGCACGAATAGAAAAATCCCTGTAGCACTCTATACTTTATCTACATGAATACTGACAATGTATGGTCATTTCTCATTCATTTCTACTACAAAACCATTTCTCTTTCTTTCCTATTTTTGACAGGATTTGCACCTTGTAAGAAAACAAGGAGAGGAGCATGAAGGAAAAGCAAACAGGTTAGTGTGTGAAATATGAATATAAATATATATTATTTAAGTAACAATTACATCTAAACTATACCCAAAAGCAGTGTTTTGGTTACCACACAAGATTCATATTATATAAATGACAGAATAATACATAATAAATAATAATTGCTGGTTGTGAGGTTACTGCAGGGATGTCAGGGACGTAAACAGGTTTGCAAAATTGGACCCATTCAGGACTGGGTAGCATCCACACCATCAACATTTTTTGTTTTCAGTATAAATAGTGTTTACTGTCACATACGTACGACTGAGACTAAACATTTTACTTTCTTCACCAGATGGAAATAAATCTATACGGAGATACAGGAAAAAACTCAGAGCCAATAGTCGACTAGTTGTTGCACGTTTATGATATTAATTTCATTATTTAAATATACATATTTTAACAGCCAGCTCTTAAATGCTAACATAAAAAGTGGTAATGAATCTGAATGTGTCAGAACTACCAGCAAGGACTGAACATTTAGTTTAATTATTTCAACACAGTATAACATCACACTACATGTTGTTGTTCTAAACATAGTTAACAGTTACTTACAAATCAACCTCGCTCTTCTTTCTCCGTGTCACAAGGACCTACTCCCGAACAAGTTTAATTGACATTGTGCATTTTTTTGCGCTTTATTGAAAAAATAAAAATAAAACTGATTGCCATCATTTGGGGAAACTGTTGTTGTTTTAACACTGCATTTAAATACCTCGAGCTAAACACATTTAATATTTTGTTCCATTTTATTTAGAGGTGAAGAAGGCACAGGAGGGAGTGTGTGCGAGTCCCAGAGTCTCCAGTGTGCACAGCTTAACCCCGGTATCCAGTCAGCCAGGCCCCAGTTTTGTTTTAGTTTTCATGTTTAGCCTCTACTTGTACTGGCTTGTATGTATTATTAGTATTATGTATTATGCTACTTGAGTCAGTGTTTGTAATGTGTCTGTTCAGAACATGGTGGTCTATGTTGGTTATAGTTTTAACCATTAGTGAGCGGCCTGTTACATTTGATGACCTCTGCTGTATATAGCATATATTGTCTATAATCATGTAAATAATTGACATGAAACTCACTGTCAGACTCTTAGTTTCCATCTCATAGCACAATATTAGCAGTTGATAAAAACATGCATATGAAATCTAGATTGGCATGTGGATCGGCATCGTTGGTCTGATATCCAATGAGTGAATTACTTCAGTATCTGCCCCCAATACCGATACTGGATCCGATCAGTCCCATCTCTACATATTAATGTGTCAGTCCTGGCTTTACTGGTCCAGATTGAGGACAAGGTTGGATATCATGACATGAAAATGTACAGTTAGAATCTAAATTATAACAAAGATATGGATTAAATTCTGGATTTTAGTCTTCAGTTAGTGTCTTTATTCTCACTAGTAAGCACTTGGCAAAAAGTGAGGTTTAGGTTTAGTTTATTTACACAAATAAAATAACCACAGTCAGTACTACTTTTGCATTAGTTTTTTAAGACTTGATACCAAACATCCTGCCTACAGCCTCACCTGCAGACTGATATTAATGTAATTTATATTCTGTATATAAAGTTTATACTATGTGCAATATGTTATGCATCAGTTGTTGTTTCATTGTTTAAAGATGAATCTTTTTGAAATGTTAATTTTTTACTAAAATACTGCATTTGTACAATGTGTCACTTTTTTCCTTTTGAACATATTTCAACACTATATTTGATTAACAAAAATAGTTTATATAATGATATTAATGGTGGTTTACACTCCGCTGCAGGAGAGAGAGGGGTGTGGGGAAGGCCTGGGAGAGCAGTGCCAGGTGAGTTGACGATCACAGCTGCTACTCATTGAGTAAACACTCTTCCCTTATATTGCAGTAGTGTGCTGAGAGCGAGCGTGAGAGTCGTATGAAGTTGTTGTGTGTTATCTGTTGTGACAGTGACGCTTGAAATAAAAGTTGTGTGGTACAACGGCACAGTGTGTGAGATTGTGTGCTGTGGGACCCAACAGTAGCATAGAGACCTGCTACAGTACTCTATATGTGGATACTTACAAACCAAAAAAACATGACATTATTTCAGGAACATGCAAATGAACAGATGTTCCTAAAAAATGTACCTTGTTTGGTTCCTTTCACACTTTGAGTCTGTTAAAGTAAAAAATCTACAAAAATAAAAGCAAAATTTGCTCATCAGCCTCAGCTGTCTACAGCTAACATCCAGCTCTGAGGACCTCAGGCTCCACCTACTGCATTGCGTATTATTTGTCACTTCATGTTTTAGGAAGTAAAGAACATTTTACCCACGCTCTCGTCTGACCCATTTTCCCCCAACTGTCCCCACTTCCTACATTCATTCATTACACCATCATTCAACCTCTCTGCTACACTCCAGTGACTCCTTCCACTGCCAGCCCACTCAACCACATTAGTCCCTAACATTGCACTCTTTAAAGTACTCATCATGAGGAAATGTTAACGTATCTGCCAAGTAGCAAAATGCTGATACTGAACAGATCAGTAAAATGTTCACTGACTACTTATTTTGTTCATTCAACTGAAGCATGATATAAAAATGTAAAGTTGTTTAGGCCCTCTGGTTGAGGTTAGAGAGAGACAATGTTGACACGAGACAATGTGTTTACTTTATTAACTTTTAACCAAAGTGCTTTAGTTGCTAATAGTTCACCACAAGCTGGAGTCAAACACAAACCACAGTCTTCAGTGTCAAACTCCTACATTTGGCACACCCACCACATCTAGTGTGCATAGATGAATGCAGAACTTCCTGCACTAAAATAAAAGCTGCAATGGAACATAACGCAGGTAGCAACTACATTTAATCACAATGAGGACCACATAAACCTGAAACCTGAAAATAAAGTCAGTATTTATAATGAATACAGGTAGAACTTTGGTCTGCCCAGAAAAAGATGTGGTAACACAATTAATAACAACTCATAACTCATAAATAACTCAGGTAACAAATGTTTACTCAAAGGAACTTGTACTCTGGTTTTACTCAAATCAAACCATGTAACTAACCTTTCTGACTACAAACCTCAGTTAAACAGTGAGCAGTTCTGCTGGGACTGTTACAGATAATGCTGTGATATACAAATACTGAAAGAAAGAGGAAGAAGACACAAAGGTGGGCGTATAACTTAAAAGTAACCAAAAATGTAATCTCAGGAAATGCGGCTGTGCAGATCAACCAACAAATGAGAAGAGGAACTGACAAACAAACTGGAGTTTAATAGTCTCAATAGTTTCACTGATCATCCAAGATCATCAAAATGAGAAGCTCTCTTCTACTGCTCCTCTCCCTGATGACAGGTAAAGAAACATTAATACTGCCTGATTCCTGATATTAGACATTAGATTAACTGTTACATCCTGTGGTTTGGTTTCAACTAATATTTGTATACTGGTCACAGTGACAGTCGTACTAATTCACAAACTAAAACAAACCAACTGCTACTTTTAAAATTCACTTAAAGGCATATATGTTCTGCTTCTCACTTTGGGTAATTCATCCAACACAGCAGTGATACAACCTATAGCCTGTTAATAAGAGGTTACTACACAGGTAGTATTTGTGATTTCATGTGAACATGCAGCTCATGTTTTGAATTTCATACAAAAATACTTTTGTATACAAGCAGTGATTTTTAATTTATTTATGTTGAATTGTTCTTGACAACTAAATAACTTTTTAACACGAGTTGTTAATACTGAACTTCAACACAGTACTTACACTTATTGTGGCAGCTACTCTTTAAAGTAGAGAAAAAACGAGCAGAAGTGAAAGAAAAAAACTGCCTGTATGTTCAAAACGGAGAAACAGGTGCAAGAATTGTTGCAGCAATATTCTGCAGCACTGTGGTAATCCATGTAAATATGAAGCTATCAGACTGTTTGTATGGTCTTGGATAAATATTCCGGATTTGATTAAATAATATAATTTTAAAACAGATTTGATTGTGAAAATTGTGTGAAAACAGCAGCACCACCGTGGCTATCGGCATGACAGACAATGAATTGAAGGTCAAACGAGTGAATAATTGAGAGAGCACTCTGAGCAATTTAAAAAGTCCCGTTTGAAAATAGAAAATAAACTACATTTATTACAGGAACCATTATCACTAAAAGAGGCAGAGGAATAACTGACACTGACACACTGAGCAACAGAGAGCAGGAAAGAGAGAGAACCATTCTCTAACTGCTGAGCTAAAGTACTGTAACGAGCAGAACTGAATAGTGTGTAAAGAGCTGTGGGATTAGTGACAACATTGTTAAAAGGAGAGAGCTATGAGTGCTTGAACTAGTGTAAGTTTAAATGTATAGCAGCTGTAATTAGCTGCTATAATGAAGAATATAACTGATTTATCTGGGTGGAGCTGGAGCAGCAGACATGCTACCAGCAACCACAAACACTGACAACCGGAGATGATACGCTGACTGCAGCACGTCAGAGAGGTCACATCCTTTAGACGGCATAGTTATGTTATGTACTGGTTTATGGAATAATGAATGAGATTAGATATTCAAATATAGTTTGGACCTATGTGTTTTATTAGAACACATAATTGAACGTCAGTATGAGCAATCTTGACAGCCTAGATATGACTCATTCTCAGCCTATCGAAGAACCATTTACTGTATTATTACTACTTAATCATGAGAGATGTCAGATATAATAGACCACACATCCCCACTGAAAGGTCTGACGCTGTGCAGCTTAAAACTGCTGCCTATCATTAATATTTACATCTGAATGTGTTCCAGCTGAATCCACTAACTGTTGGCTTTTAAACAAAGCAGCAACATCTTCAAATCTGTAAGCAATGAATCCAACAAACTTATTATCACCTTTAAAGTTGACAAAGCAAACTGGTTAGCAAACAGCATTCATTGAGCTCTGTGTTTGGTCTCCACCAACTCGTGAGGGAAATATCTGGCTCTGTAGCTGCTAAATGCTCCACTACGTTCACCAGCTAGTGGAGACGCATCTTCCATCTTAATGTGCAGTGTATGGATGAGAGCAGTGAGTGAACCAAAACAGTTAAGTTAAGCTAAAAGATGATAAAAATTCTTCAAATGACTAAAACACAGTTGATACTAGTTTAGACTGCTGCAGTAGCTCTGGGATTGTCTCAGTATCTGACATCATGTGAACTTTAGTCTTTGTCTGATCTACAGGTTGTGAGCTCAGGTCTGAAGTGAAGGGATGCCGAGGAGGATGGGTTGAATTCACCTGCAAATATCCCAAAACAACTGGAATTTATAAGAATATTGGTCCAGTTAGTCGAAAAGGAACATTCATACAAGCTACTAAAAAGAATGTGTGGGAAACCAAAGACAGCATTTCCCTGTACCATGATACACAAAATGAAGAACTCAGAGTGGCCATCAGACAACTTCAAACCAAGGACTTTGGGGAATACCAATGTAAAGAGAAAGACAAAGACAGAGTGAAAGACAAAGACAGAGTGAAAGTGGAAGTTGGTAAGAGACACTCACCTTTAAAGTGTTTCTCAAAACTTGGTCAAAATGTTTTACATAAAAAAATAAAACAGACATTTTACATTATTTGCACATGTAATGACTCAAAGTTTTGAGGCACATTGAGCCAATGCATTGTTGATAACAGATTTAACTAAAGGCACAGATATCAGATAAATTGGGTGACACTATGAATTTATGACATTTATTCCTGAGCTGACACATAAACCACAGTCTTTAGAGTCACTTCATTTTAGCTTTAACAAAGAATTGTAGATACACTGGCATTTTAATAAGCTTTTAATAATTTCTACTCCAGTGGTTTTATAATTTATTATGATTATTACATTTTGTTTCTCTGTTTGGCCACTTTCTTAAATTCTTGCTGTAATTTATGTTTTATATATTTTCTGTGGACCAGTGAAATACATTCTAGTTCTGGTTTTAAAAGGCAATACAGAAATACAATGTACTTTTGATATTTATTTGCAGAGGAAGAGGAAGATGGCTGCCAAGAATTTCTTCAAACTGCGTACAGAACAGCTAAAACCACCATCACATGTGATTATCCTGAAAACAAACACAGGTCCAGTGTCAAGTTTCTCTGCAGAGAGAATAATTTCACTTGTGAGGAGATTTTATCAACGAGATCTTCTGTAAAGTCAAACAGAAAATTCAATCTCACAGAAACCAACAGAGGATTCAGTGTGTCCATCAGTAATGTGTCCTCACATGATGCTGGTCTCTACTGGTGTGGAGTGAATGAAGGAAATTACCGAACTGGACTCAGAAAAATCCAACTGAAGGTTGAAGGTGAGCAGCACACATCTGACACTTCTAGGTTTGATTCACTCACACATATAACTGAGGTCTCTCTGAAATATGTTGTTAAATACAGTCAATGCTGTCTGTCTACAGATATTAAAAACTTCACAAGGTCTCTAACTATTGGACAGAATTTTACATACTGGTGTGATGGTGCTTCGATAAAGAAATTCATCTGTAAGGGAGAAGATCCATCTATATGTCAACCACTGATCACTACACAGCAAAAGAAGAACACAAGGTTTTCCATGAAGGAAGACAAAGAGAAGAAGAGAAATATCACCATAACAGTGAGAGAAGTAACAGCAGACGACAGTGGGACATACTGGTGTGGAGCAGAAAGCACTGAC